TGGACTCGACGGGATGTCTGTCCTGACGTTTCCTGGGACCGGCTCAGACTCTGCCGATCACGGGCGTTCTGGACTCAACGGGATGTCTGTCCTGACGTTGCCTGGGACCGGCGGACTCTGCCGATCACGGGGGTTCTGGAGTCGACGGGATCTCTCTTCCGACGTTTCCTGTGACCGGCGCTGAATCGCTCTTTCACGCTTATTCTGGAGATGACGGGATCTCTCTTCCAAAGTACATGTATGTTAATGCGGACGCATCCTATCACCTATTCGGCGTCTATTCTTATTTAATTTCCTCCTCTTCTCCCTATTTCTTTCCAAATCTCCCTCTACATCAGGGAGTCGTATACATAATACGACGAATATTGGTACAGTACGGGACAGATACAGGAGCCCGCAAATATTGTGGCCAGCTGTTATGTACAATCCTGTAGAGCCTTTGTAGTCACAGATACGGGACAGATACGGGACAGATACGGGATAGCTCCAGCCGTGACACAAACAAACAAACAAACACACAAACACCAAATTACAGCTGTGTGGACGCTGGCTAGCGCCAGACGTTACTGAAGTCACGTCTTCTGCATAGCTACGGGAATTAAAACACATGAGATGAGGTGGGCACAACTCAAGCTTAATGGAATGGACAAGAGAAGCAAGGTGTGCACTGCGTCCATGTGATAACGGGGTTGTGTGAGCGATTTTATAAAGGGCGGATGATGAGAGCATCTGGGGTTGACGGAGGAGAATTTTAAGGATTTTCTTGTGGTGTATTTCAAGCTTTGCTGCAGCGGAAGAGGATCATCTAACCCAAGACGTATCGGCATAATCAAATTTTGGGCGAAGGCAGGCTAAATAAAAATGAAGCTTGCAAGAAAGTGGTAGGTAGGAGCAGTGGGGGGGGGGGGGGGGGAGAAGTCCTAAGGATTTACTTGATTTTTTACAGATATATTCGATTTGGGGTACCCAAGAGAGTGCAGAGTCAATCACAATGCCAAGGCGTTTGTGAGAAGACACTATATCAATTGGATTTGGAAAGTTGGCATGGCTGAGGGTTGTGAACTCTGGCTGGGGCGGGAAGAGCATGATCTTTGTTTTTGATAGATTTGGGGACAATCTCCAGGACGACATCCAGGAAAGAACTTCCTGAATGCCAGTACGCAAGTTGTTTTTCAGGCCAGTGAGAGAAGCTGATGAGGTGAAAAGGATCGTGTCGTTAGCAAACAGAGACGTTCCAGGGCAGACTTCAGGTAAATCGTTTACGTAAATTATAAATAGTAGGCGACCAAGAATTGATCCTTGAGGAACGCCTGACAATACTGGCTCTGCAGCCGAGGATATGCCAAGCACAGTTACGTACTGATAATGCCCAGAGAGATAAGATTTCAGCCAGGAGAGTGGTTGTTTGCGTAATCTGCATGCATGCTCGAGCTTGGCCAAAAGTCCTCGATGCCAGACGGTATCAAGCGCCTTGGCCAAGTCAAAGAAGCAAATACCAGCAAGCGCTCTGTTATCCCTATGCTGGCACACCTCCTGCACGATGCGGGTCAGTTGAAGGGAGGTGGAGTCGCCTTTACGAAACCCAGATTGTGCGGGACTCAGAAACGGCGAAACATGTCTGTATAAGTGATCATAAAAGATGCGTTCACATACTTTGGACACGCAGGGAAGAAGAGAGATAGCCGACACAGCTGCGGAAAGGTTGTTTCGCACGGATCATGGCAAGGTACCACGTCAGCCGAGCCTGAAGACTCAGCGTATCCCCATGCCGCGACAGCCGGCTCAGTGCCTTCTGAGAGTATCTACGGGATATGGGAACGCCAGCTCAGGTCGTCGTAGATGGTAACACTCAGGTAACTTGCTGAGGACACCGTAGCAGATTCATCCCTATTACAGCGGACGAGACAAAGTGGGTTTGGCTGCGCTCGTGGCTTTACGAACATGAAGTGGGCTTTTCTCTTACTAAGGAGGAGCTCGATTTCCTCCAGCCATTTAGCGAGCTTGGTGATGCCCTCCAAGAGAGTCTGAACAGAGAACAATGGGTCTGAGTGTGAAAAGTCAATGATGATGTCGTCTGCAAACTCCTGGTGGATTATGGTGAGCAGGACTTCATTTTTAGCGTGTATGTACAAAACAAACAGAAGCGGACAGATGACAGTTCCTTGTGGCACACATCTGCTGCTGGACACTCCAGCAGACAGCTTTCTGCCAACTTTTATCCGTTGGTGACTACCCGTCAAGTAGCTGATGAAACAGTCAAAGATGATACCATGAAAAGTTCAAAAACCCAGTGAATGCTGCTTTATGATGAGGCATTGATGTTGGACTTGGTCGATTGCTTTCGACATATCAATCCTGACATTGTCAGTAGTTCACGTCTGGATCTGTGCGTCCTTCCATAGGTCCACTGCTCGCACAAGCGCATCCTCCGTCGAGCGACCGAAGCGGTATGCATATTGCGTGGTAGGGAGCAAGCCTTTCTCGTTGAGGTATTTGTTCAGTTGGTCCTTGACAATTTTCTCTTAAGCATAGTTCACAGTCGACGCAACGGTGACGGTGCAGGACTTACGGGCCTGTTGGGACGGCTGAGGCGAGCGGTAAAATCTTGTACGATTCTTAGGACACAGCACGCTGCAGTCGTTGTGATGTTCAACAGCAAACTGCGCGAGTCACAAGTCACGATGAGTGACAGGGTGACATTTGTACCTAATTTCTAATTTTTTTAATACTTCTTTTCTATTGAAATCTGTTGAAATCCGCAACTTGCGGCCGCAAGTAAACACTAATGCTGGCTGGGCACTACTGTGAATATATCGTATCTGGATATTAATATATCACCAATCCCTTTCGCCACCTTTGTAGCTGACACATTTGGCGCAAACACAGCACAGCACAGTATATTTGCTGCTCCTTTGTAGAGTGCACATCATTGCAAACCTGATGAGGGCTATATACCGAAACGTTGTTTTAACTACGAAAATGTGTTCGAACGTTGCAGTGTAAATAGAAGGGAGCGAGTCCGCTCCATCTGTAATTCTGTATGAAACTGCAAGAGGCCTCACCGCTTCTAATCTCTTTTCTATTATTTCTCTTTAAAATGAAACGGAATCAAGTTCGCAGTACCAGTGTTTCATGGAAACCAAAAACGTAGCCTGAAGGTTTTGCCATTCAAAATATAGCCCCAGTAAGTGATAATACAGTGTGTCTGTCACGCTCTTGAACGGTTAGCCATTCTGCGAGTTATCATGGATAGCGTTCGAAAAGTTCAAAATGTCTAGGTACGAATCGATAGTAGTTAGCGCACGACGCCGTCTCCTGTACACACTCAAAAGCAGCCGTTTTGTATGCTTACTTCCTCGTCTACGTCTAGGGTATGAAAAGATGAACTGATCCAACTTTTCCCTCCACTTCAAGATCAGTACGTTAGTACGCTGCGTTCCCGATCCTGGTGTTCACATTGGACGCTGTCAGACAGTCCTGTCCCTTCCAGTCGATTCTTACGTTGCGTCCCGTCCCGCCCCGTCGAGTGTGAACTAGGCGGGACACGATCGAAACCAGAGGTATCGCCGGGACTACCGTTATGGCAACGGTCAGTGTCCCCACTTTGAAAAGGGGAGAAACATAAGAGAGCTTGAATGCAGCTGGCACTTTCCCAGGTCACAAGGACTCGTAAAGAAGTCACTGAAGGAAAGGGCAAATGTGTAAGAGGTCATTTTAAGGGCCAATTCCGGAAGACCGTCACTCCCCGTACTTAGCTTGCGCTACCCTGAGCGAGCAGCTTGTTTACTTGGGCTGGGGTAAATGATTGTAAGCGGAGAATACCCTTAAGAGGACTTGTGGTCCGTCACGACTTAGCCGGACCTTGTGCTGAGGTTGTCGAACGATGCCTGAGGTTCTTGTTGCGACTTTGATCGGCCAGTAACTTAGTCGATAGTTCGCAGAGCAAATTCATGTGCATGTGTACTGAATGACTTAGGAATGGCTTTACAACCGCTGGCGGACCAGTTAGTCTCTCTGGCTCTTTTGTGAACCGTGAATATTTCTCCACAGATCTGATGTTATGCCATTCTCTTTCTTGTTTCACTGCTCATGTTTGTTTTAATCTTTCAGTCAACTCAACACCCGGATCAACACCTGGATCAACAACAGGATCAACACGTGAATCCTGCACGACAACTAGCGGTATGTACAATCTCAAATGAGTTGAGGAAATCAAGTTGTAGAAGTAGCACTCTATTATTTTAAAACATCTTGGAGGAAACAAAAGCCGTAGTATTGAAATGAAAACAAGTATTGAAAATCAACTATTCAATGCTTTAAGGGAAAGACACAAACAGGAAAAGTCTGAAGCCAAAATTGACTGCCACCAGACAAGGGGACCACCAAGATTCGAACCATGAATCTTCGCTTGAAGCCAGTGATGCTCTAACCACTGAGCTAAGATGTAGACGTCATCAGAACAGAGACCGTTGACCACTTTCTTCAGACTACGTAACTCACACTTCCTGTGAATCCTAACTGGCGGGTGGGACACTGTAACTTGGGACTCCCCGCGTCTTTACAGCCTCTTTTACGGGCAAAATAAACACAATGAATATTTTTCCCAAGTGTTCCAAAAATTTCAACTCAAAGTTCAAGAAAGAAAGAAAAAAGAAAAAAACATGCAAAAAAAACAGCATCATAATGTATACACCTACTTAACCCTTTGTGAGTCCACTGGTTTCGGAGAAAATGACCAAATTTTCCATTCCGACAATAATCCCCTGTAACTCCACAGTTTTTGAGAATATGTAATTAGAAGTTGTGTTTTTCTGAATGGAATCGTTCGGCTGAATCCAAAAAACTATGTTAGAATGTTGCCATGGTTACCAATGTTGCCATATTAGGCACATATTGTCATAATCAAGTGTATAGCCGCGTTATTTACAGAGCGCACCATAGGAAGGAAATGAAACCATACTTTTATGTACAAATATACAGTAGACAAGATAGAAACTCACAGCACTGAGATAAGATATCCTTCACGGGAAGTGGCGTGCATGGTAAGCGGCGTAGCAGTCGTGGTCGCTCGTGATGTGGAGGTGAACATCGCACGTAGTGCAGTAGGTTACACACTGGTGCTGCTTGTTACCCACTTCTGTGCAGTTTCTGCAGTTCTTCCTTTTCCTCACTCCAGGTATGTGAAGCTGAGCAACAGGAACCTGGACATCCTGCGGAACAGGCACTGGGCGATACGAGCGCTTCGGTGGCGGTGCATGCTCATCAATCGATGACAGCTGCCGGATGAGGTTACAGCGGAAATCCGAGTGCTGCAAGTTGCATCGTCGACTTATCACCCCTGGATGCTGGCTCTGCCACAAGTGAAAGAGGCGGTATGCATTGACAGCGCACACGTCGACCATATCCAAGAAGAGACTCTTCCAGTATTTCTTCGTTTTGCGAAGCACACGGTGCGTTTCGATCAGCTGATCGAACGTGTCGACTCCACCCATGCTGCTGTTGTAGTCTCTGATGCACATTGGCCTCTGCACTTCCATTTGCTGGTGTGCACCATCAATCTTGACATTTCTTGTTACTGTGTCATGCTCATGGCCCTGATGTATGTTGCTGTACATTGACACACACCGCTTGTCCTTCCATTGCTGGTACAGGTGATCTCCGTTGCGAACATAGCGTGTTGCACCTCGCTCTGCATGTTTCTCGAACTGTTTCATGTCGGTCCGCAATACGGCTGGAAATCCAGTGCGGTTCGCGCGGACGGTGCCAACCAACGATATTTGCTTGGTACGAAGAGATGTGGCCAGGGTTTCGGAAGTGTAAAAATTGTCCGTGTAGATCACACTTCCGGCGCGCACGTCACTGACCAGCCGCATCACCACAGCATGAGTCAGGCCATTTTCACCTCCAGGTTGCTGGCCTGTGTAAACTTCAAAGTTTACAACAATGGAGCTTTGGGCGTCGCAGGCAGCGAAGACCTTGAAGCCCCATTTGACGGGCTTTTTGGGCATATACTGCGTAAAAGGAGCGCGTCCCTTGCACTTGACCATGCGCTCGTCAACACTAACGCACTTGCCAGGGATGAACAAACGCTTGCAGGCCGCCTGCAGATGGTCGTGAAGGTATCGCACCTTACGAAGTCGATCATTTATATCCTCTGCCCTGAAGTCCACAATCTTGATGAAGCACATCAGCGCTAAGTACCTCCGGTAGGTTCGAATCATGCAGCGTGCATAGTTTCCGTTGTACAACGACGTAACGCGCCAGTAGTCCCTCGTCGCAGGCAGAGGATGAAATCCCTGGAAGAAGAGAAATGCAAGGAGGCCGTAAAACTCATTACGGTTGGTCTCCTTCCACACACCATCCGTCTGGTACGTCTTTTTTTCAGCGATATGCTCGTGCGCATACAAATTTGTAAACTTGACAATTGAATCCACAACTTCGTCCGGGAAATATAGTTTGAAGAAATCAAGTTCACATGTTGGAGCGAAATTATCAGGTAGGTTCAAACCAGTGCCAGTTATGTTGAACTCAGGTGTATTGGTTTGCAGCTGGTCAACATCATCATAGCCACTACAATTTTCGTACTGTATACCACGTCCTCGTCCTTGCCCTCTTGCAGCTCCGCGTCCTCGCCCTCTTGCAGCTCCACGTCCTCGCCCTGTCGCAACTCAATGTCCTCGCCCTGTCGCAGCTCCACGTCCTCGCCCTCTTCCACGCGCGGGGACACCTACTGCTTGGCCTCTGCCTCGTCCAGGGCCACGTCCACGAGCAGCGACGGGAACAGGAATAGCGATATCGTCAGCCGAATCGGATCCTATTTGCTCCAAGTCGGAAAAGAGATCGTCATTCAGGCGATCTTCCTCGTCAGACGAAATAAAATCGTTGTCCGAGTCGCCTACCTCGTCGCCTGAAGAGCAAGCGATATCCTCTACTGGGAGATCTGCTTGGTCCGCGTCTTGTATTAGGCGAAGCGCCTCGTCTGCATCCATCGCTGGATAAGTCCAAATTCTAATTTTGACATAATTGCAAAGGCTCTTTCAAAGCGTGCTATCAAAAAAAATTTAGTGGCGACCTACATCATGTTTAGTACCTACGTCACGGAAATTTTCTCAGGTACGCGGTGGTGAAGTCTCGGCGCGATGCGGTAAACCAGTCAAGCGCGACGATCAAAAATGTGACGCGCATTTGAAACGAGCGAAATCGCTCGTTGAGCGCACAAAGGGTTAAGTAAACAGAAGCAAGTTCAACTTCAAGTCAATATTCCACTCACTGATACCGCTCGTGCACGCTAAGCCCTTACCTGGGCCTCTACCACTGCCACCGCAGCAGAGGTATCACCCACAGCCACGGAAGACTGGCTAGAGAGCCTTCTGCACCCTGGGAGGCACATGATGCAGGACTGCAAGAAGGAAAAAGCGATCCTGCACCTGATTAAAGCCATCACATGAGAGTACTGCTCCCTCTTTTCGTCGCCAACAGAGAGGCCACTCGTTTGTAGAGGGCCGTTGCTGCCTTGCCCATGCCTCCGCTCGCAGACATCACAGCCGGGACAAAAGCGGCATACTCCACTTGTCTCACTCTATTTTCGTAGTGCCTTCTTTTCTCTCGTTCGTGTCGATGATACAGAGTAGTACGTGGTGCACACTGATTTGAGCGAGCATAAGGATTAAAAACCCGGACATCAATACGGGTTCGCTCAAATCGACTGCCCCACAACCACGGCTCCCCGCGTCTTAGTTTGTACGTGAAGTGTGTGGGTTACAATGAATTATTGTTCGGCCATAACAAACGAATAGTTTATTATAATGTAAAATTATTATGTAGGTAGAATGAATAGTTTTTTTGCAGCAACTGTAAAATACTGATAAAACAGGTGAAACTCGATCCAAGCACCTTTCAAAATTAGTTTGTATTTTCAAGTTTCTCAGAGGCTTTAGCTCTCAGGCACCTGTATCTCGCTGGAGGTAGCGGCACATAAGTCGGTCGACGCACCCTTACAGTAAGTACACTTCTGCGCCATGCGCCCGAGTCCAAACCAAACTGTCCAGTCGATCCACGGACCGCCAGGGCTGTTTTTCTTTATCAAGTCCTGGAAACAACACATCCGGACTTGGCACAACAGGCGCGAGGTGTTTCTGACGCAGAATATCACCAACCCCGCAATCAGTGCCGCCCACTGGCAAAGAACTGCTCTTTCCCGCAATAGCTGTGTAACAGCATGAATGCGAGTGCTGAATAACAGCTGTTACGTGCCAGCTTACTCTTACTAGGCTACGGTCTGTTAGCCCGATGTGCACCTGCAATTCATCTATACAATAGCATTATTGTTCTAAGAACAGTGTCGAATCTACCAACTCTGTCCTTCTGTGTGCGCTGAACGGTTACAAACTGAGTATATGAACGGCTGCTGTAACTCTGCCCTGGTCCCTACGTTTACCAAACTGGCGTGGTCGATCATCATCAAAGCAATCCCCTATGACCAGACCTACCCGTACACCCAGGTTGGATAGTGTCGCTCTCGTCGAGGAGCTCAGTAAGATTTCCACCTTTCCATAACCCAAGACGACGCGCCAAGTGTTTGGCGCACTTCTTGGCTGCAGTGGCACGCCCCACGCGTTGTAGTAATAAAGAGGGTAGCTTGAAGACTCTATACAAGGAAGCACTATCCACACTCTGAGATATATTGGTTTTTCGTAGTTCTATAGCGAGCACCGAACAAAAGTATTGCCGGAGGCCCCATTGCGCAGAACAAAAAGATTTTGTTGCCATCAAGTAACCTTGTAAAAGGTACATATGACAGTATCGCATAGTAGGCCTGGAGGGTATGCCTTCCTTTGAGGGCATTGAGACAGGTGCATTATCCGACCCATTAGTAGGGCCTTCACTATGCGGTCAGTCAACACAATGAGGCAGCCTGGAACATTTCACATCAGGCAAGCGCCCATCCATAGCCATTTTTGTAGGGTTCTCAGAAATCTGTCAACATTCTGGGGAAACCGATCATAATAATTGATTATAATCTTCATTATTGGCCATGGGCCACCGTAGAAATATAGAACAATGTAATAATAGGTTCCGCAGAAAGGCGTGTATGCATTGTCATTTGGCCAGGTGTGTTTCCAACAGTTCCATACAATTTGCGTGAAAAATATGAATACAGCACGTTCAGATTTTCCATTCAGTTCTCATGACATTATTTTTTTCTTCCAAAGCTGTGCATTGTGATGGAAAGCCATAAAAAATAAAAACAACTCTGTTCAGGTATCCAAAAAATTGAGTTTAAAACGCATGCACTATGTCTGTAGATGTTAGAACGTACAATGTGCTGTGTTCTCTCACCTACAGAAGAAAATCAAACCCAGACGTTATACACACTTGGCAGTGTGATCGGCGGTGTTGTCGGCGGGATCTTTTTCGGGGTAATAGCGACGATGGTGGTGGCCACAATAACAAATCGGAAGAAACAAAGCAAACTGATTCAGCCTGAAGTTCCGAGTCAGACACAAAATGCAGCCTATGAAAACGCTGATGTTGCGGAGAGTTCCCTTACCAAAAGTGATGCTTATGGTGTCGTAGAATCCGCCCCGCAACCACAGTATGAATTTGTTTGCCCGCAGTAACTCACTGATTGGGTGCATTTCATCATTTTCTGTAATTTGGTTTGCTTCTCTGTGTTCTTTGCCTATTGTTTTTCCTCAGCACAATTCATCTCAGTATAAATTCTTGCATTTTTACCCCGTTGCATCGATTTTCCTAATACGTTTTTTGACAATTCCTCAGTTTGGTGTTTAGTTTTTAATAGTTTTATTCCAAGAAATACGTGGCTGGGGCAGCCAATGACCACTTTTCGTGGCGATTGCAGGTTATTTTATAGCCAACCACAGCGTACTCTCCATCGCATCCTCTATTCTCATTCTATCTTTGGATTATGTTGCTCTCCTATCGTGGTCCCAGGGAATTCAGGGATTGACTTAAGGGCCGTCGCTCTTTTTCTTGCTGCTCAAAAGAGTTCATTTCAAAATCGATTCCTTTAACTCACGTTGTCCTCAGCGCAGCAAACAACTCATCTATAGGTAGGCTAATCACACACTTCAACAACTTCCCCCAAGCAAAACTTGCCATTAATCTCGTTAATCTTTTTTCCAGGGTTATTGGAGGCACTTAATATGTAGATTGTTTTCCATCAAGTAACTTGTAATGTTGTTTCTTCTTTTCTAATATTCTCTGACCTACTCCATATGCATACACACACTTCACCTCGTCCTTTCTTCTCAATTCCTATTCCGCGATTATTTCTCACTTTTCTCCTATAAAACTGGTGCATGTTTCTTTACGTTTTCAAGATGTGTTTTTCCAAGTACATGTAGGTTGCTAAATAAATATCAAACTCCATTGGAAAAAGAATATGATTGATGCATAGGGCTTTTGGGATTGCAATAAACAGAACCAGCTGAAGCCTCATTTCACGAAGGGTTTTATTGAGATGATGTCACGAACATATTCTAGAGAAAGTGGTGATGGACACAGAAATAAAACGAATGTGATGGGAATGTAATGTGAAGAACAATAATAGGAACGATGAGAAATATCTTACCGTTCTCACGCGATCGTTAGCCCTCTCTTGAATAGTGCCCCCAGAGCTTGTAACCATGAGCAAGTGCACGTTTGATGTTCGTTTGCTGTTGTTCTTGTCCTTACCATTGTACTGGTGGTTTCAGGATCAAGATGACAGTTCTTGTTGCCGTTCCTGTTGAGTCGGGATAGTGTATAGTGAACGTTTGGCTTTGTTGTTCTTTTCTGCCTTTGTTTTTATGCTGGATGACCTACATTTACCAGCATTGAAAAGTGCCCTCTCTTGTAGTACCCTCTCCCAAGTTAAATAGTGCCCCATCTGTATCTAACTGCAAAGTGTGCCACAGGGTCACTAATCACAGTTCTTGTTGTCAGTCCTAGATAGTCGGGATAGTGTAAAGTAAACTTCAGGCTCTTTTTTCTGTGTTTGTTTTTTATGCTGTATGACCTACATTAACCAGCATTGAAAATGCTCTCTCTTGAATTGTGCCCTCTCTCGAATAGTGCCCTCTCTCGAATAGTGCCCTATCTTGAATAGTGCCCTTTCTTGAATAGTGCCGTCCCTTAAATAGCGCCCTCTCTTGAATAGTGCCCTCTTTTAGAGCCCCACCTGTGATGCACATTGAATAAATTCTGCCCAATGGGTATTAATCAGGCGGGTACGGTACATATCGCGTGTAAAGTATAAGTTCTTCGAGACAGGAAACTTAAGAAAGAAATAAGAACTACAAATCTCAAGCTATGGGCGACACCGTGCTCGGGGTCTCGCCCATCTGAACCTGTTAGAAACTATTTAAATGGTATTAGTATTATTCTTTTATTCCACGATGGCGTGCCGCCAATACGGACGATTGATAAATGCGATAGAACTGGTATTAGCCAGAAACAGCGAGATGGAAATTCACCAGGGAGGCAAAAAGCAATGGATGGTACCCAGGTACCGTTGCGTAAAAAAGCAAGATGTAATATCTCTCAAGTTGTTGACTAACACCCCTGACCCGACTACTTAATATCACGGTGGCATGGTGAATGATTAAAACACAACACCAAAAAATGAAAACATTTGTATGCAGAAAGGAAAAGGACATATGACCAGCGCTCTGCGAAAACCGACCTTAGGTGCTATTTTGGCGAAATTGAGTTTGTGCTGGATTGTTGACCCATGACCCTTTCTTCAACTTCTGGTGAAGTTTTAGGTGGATTGCATACATATTCGGTTAGATACAATGACAATTTCTTTGCACTTTTCCTACAATATTTTGAGGACAAGTAGCAAAAAATCCTGGATTTTATGCTACATTTTGGAGCCAATGCTGTGAGAATTCAAGCAGCATGATTGCAACCAAACTTTGCAGAATAAATCTGTATGTCATAATCTTCAAAAGGAAAGGTTTATGATGGCATTAGATCTTCCTGTTGTGGAGATAGACACATTCTTTCTCTCTTCTGTGGATGGTGTTGCTCACGAATCTGCTGGAAGAGGTATTTGGCTCTGTATGAGGATATGCCAGCCAGAGTGATGGGTAGAGGCAGGTGCAAAGCAGTGAAGAAGCTCGGATCAATGCCAGGTTAAAGGATATTGATAGTTTTATCTGGTACTGGTAGTAGAACATCTA